CGTGGAGGGAGGTTTACCGATGTAGGATGGGGGCAAGAGGGAGACTGATGTGGAGGGAGGAGATGGCGGAAGAAGGAGAAAGGGAGACTATGTGGAGGGAGGGAGACTGACGGAAGGAAAGGGACGAGAGAGGGAACCGCTATGGTGGAGCAAGGAGGTGAAAGAAGCAGCGCTATGGCGGAGCACGAAGAAGAAGAGGACGAAGAAGAAGAAGAAGAAGAAGAAGAAGAAGAAGAAGAAGAAGAAGAAGAAGAAGAAGAAGAACTGAGTAAGAAGAGGAAGAAGGAGATGACGATGGCCTGGATGCAGGGCCTCAATGATGGTGTGGCTGGATGGATATGACAATGGTGCGGCTGGAGGGCGGCAGGGCGATGACGATGAAGGCGAGGACGACCACAGCACGGCGACGATGGCGAGGACAACGACGGCAGGGCGATGACAAACTGGCGTGGGGTGTAGTCCGCACGGCGGAGGGCGGAAGGGGAGAGCCGCGTGCGAAGTCCCAAGATTCGACCTCAAAATCTTGGGACTTCGGCACCGTCGTTCAATGCAGATCAATGACCAAGGCGGAAAAAGAAAAGAAAAAAACATGAAACAGGGCCTACCGGACCCCGAAAAATTTCGCGGCCACCGCCATTTCCCCCCCCCCCCTCTGGGCTATAGGCCTGCGGCCGGAATTTTTTTTTTTTCAGTGGTTTTTGGGGACGACGCTGAGGGGGCCGAGGTGCCTGGCCAGGGTGGTCCGCACGGCCAGGCGCCCCAGCGCCCTTCCGGGCAACCTGGGGTGGCCCGGGCTCCCGGGCTGGAAAGCTAGGGTACTACCGTCTTCACCCGAATAGAATGCCCGGTCATTATAGCCGTATTTGGTGCAATTTTCAGACCAGATACAGCTATAATGACCGGGCGTTCTATTCGGGTGAAGACGGTAGTGGTTTAATAGAAAAGTTTTGGACCGTTTCTTGGTTTATGCATGTCATCCTTGCGCAGGGGCCATGCTAATCTTCTCTGTATCGTTCCAATTTTAACTGCATTTTTTTTGTGGATGTCATATTTGAAGGTATATGGTAACGCACGTGTGCATATGTATCAGTGAGCGATAGTCTGTTCTCCTGAGTGTCAGTCTCTTGGCCTGTGGTGTGTTTGTCTGGATCTGTAGGACTGACGTTACCTTGTTCCTTTGGGATTCTTTATACTTGGGAGGCCGCCATCATGCAGCCTGTACCGGGATGGCCTCAAGCTTTTGCCCTCAGTTGCCTCTGAGGGTTCGTTCTTGTAGGCTGATGCAACAAACGAAAACATAATGACCTATTCGTCTTTAGACTCTTTACAATGGATGCAGTCATTACATTTATGTTAACTTTAGTTGCTTGGGCAGTAATACGTGCTCTCAGCCTTGCCTCAGTTAGATTTTAGATGCTGAGTACGGGCCTCACCATACCACTCATGAATGAAAAACTGCGAGTGCATCCTCCCACAGAAGGTGGCCGGATACATGCGTTAGTATTCATTGTGATGATGTATCTTGCCACCTTCGTTGGGTGGGTGCGTGCACTTACGTTTTTCGGGTTTTGCGAGTGGTGTGGTGAGGCCCTAGTTTGCCGGAAGGCTAAGCCTTTTCCTTGCGACAATGTTTGGACTCTGGGTGGCCTTCATCGCTCACGAGGCACGAACAAAAAACTTGCAAGCGCATCTTCCCACAGAAGACAAGCGCATCTTCCCACAGAAGGTGACCGAATACATGCTTTAGTATTTATTGCCATGGATGCATCTTTTGGTGGGCGCGCTCGTGTTGTTCTGGTTTTGTGAGTGGTGTGGTGAGGCCCTAAGCCTTGTCCTTGCAACAACGCTTGGCGTCTGGGTGGGCTTCGTAACCACTCCTGCATCTTCGAAACTTGGCCAAGTCCTGAAAGCAGCAGAGCGTTCTCGGCCTGCTGGGTCTTTGAGAATGTGTAACATCCATAAATGCGGAGTACAAGCTCCATAAAAAAGTGCGGGCTAGTAGAAGGCAGGGTGGCGTGAAATAGTCTGGATTGATCGCCGGGCACCAAGGCCTAAAACCTCCAAGCAGTTCCGTGGGCGGAAAACTTGCACCTATTGTTAGGCGTGTATTTATACAACCACCGGGTGTGCCCCAGGCTGAGAGTGCGGAATGTACATGTGTAGAAATGACTGGACCTGGCAGTCTTTGGTACGAGGGTGCTGGGTCAGCTCACTTGTCAATTGGACTGTAATGTGTGAAACTGTTTGTAAAGCAGCGGAGGAGGGACTGTATGGGGTAGTTAGCTGTGCTCGATGAGACCCAAAGGCTTCTGTGGAGAATCAGTTGCCTGCCTCATAGTCTTTGGCAAAGGGAATGTAGATGTGCAGTAGCGACTGGAACTAGCGGCCATTGACATGCACAGCTAAGGGCGGAATGGATGCACAGGTAAATCTGGTGGTAATGTTTAGGAGAGTCTGCAAAGAATTGCAGTGGGTACCATGTGGCTGCAAGAGCAGCATCGTCAGCTGCACTCATGACACCTGAAGGGCTCTGTGGAGAATCCATCGCCTGCCTAACGTAATCTTTAGCTTGGGGTTGAAAGGGCGGGTGGATTTGGCAGTAGGGTAAGGCGTGCAGTAACGACTGGAACTGGCAGTCATTGGCATGCACAGAGAAGGGCGGATGGATGCGCAGGTAAAACTGGCAGTGATGTTTGGGAGAGTCTGCAAAGGAGTGAAGTGGGTACCATGTGGCAGCAAGAGCGGCATCGCGAGCTGCACTCATGCCACCTGAAGGGCTCAGTGGAGAATCAATCGCCTGCCTAACGTAATCTTTTGGCAGTAGGCTAAGGGGTCTTGGCATAGCCGCACTTTTTCCCACGAAGGATTTTTTTTTCTTTTTTTTTTCAGTGAAGCTGTGACTTATATCAGTGTGGCAGATGCTTTGACCCGTTTCAGCTCCCGAGTCCTAACCTTAAACCTCCAGTATTTTAAAGCCTCGTTTTCCGGAGGCGGATTTTCCGTGAGCAAAGATTCGTCGAACCGGCGAAGGCTCAGAAGCTTTTTTTTTTTTTTTTTGGGATGGCGTGCACGGTTGTTTTGATTTGGTCACAGAACCTGCACCGCTGCGTAAGAGACGAATGGCTGGGAAACGCACGGGTGGTTAATTGTATCCATCCGATCAATCAGGATTTGAACTCATGCCCTGCTTATTAACAGTACATGTGTGCACCATTCAGCCACATGGGCTGGGAGAGCCTTGGAAGGACAGATTAACCCTTCTATCTGGTGGCACATGAAAAAAAATGTAATTCTGTGGAAAGTTGGAAACAAATGGAAGCGGAGGAGATGTTCTGGTTTGGAATGTGTCAGTATGCAGGTTATGATCGATCCTTTTTTCTTTTTCTTTCCTCTTTTTAAGTCTTTATATGGCCCACGTAGGATCGATCCTTCGGTTCATTATAATGGTGAAATGTTGAGGGGAGCATTGAGCTTGCGGTGTGTGGTCTCTGGTTTTCGATCTCCTATGTGGGTTCTACAGGTTCGGGGAGAGCCAAACATTTCGTACATATGTTCACGGTATTACCGTGCCCCAGAGCTGATCTTTGGAGCCACGGAGTACACTACGGCCATTGATATTTGGTCAATGGGTTGCGTCATGGCTGAGCTCCTCCTTGGACAGGTAATATCATTAAAAAAAAAGAAAAGAATTAATCTCTTGCTCTGGTCGTACTCATATAAGCAGGTGTTGTACTCGAGTTCTGTTCCAATTGTCCTTCGTTCCATCAGTTCTGTACTCCATTGATATTTGGTTAATGGGTTGCGTTATGGCTGAGCTCCGTCTTGGACAGGTCAGATTAAAATTAAAAAATAAAAAGATCTCTTGCTCTGATCGGACTCATATAAGCAGGTGTTGTGCACAAGTTCTGTTCCGAGCGTCCTTCTTTCCATCGATTTTCACTCGGTCGTGATGAGGGATAGGAGATGATAGTTGATGTGCCGGCTGGATAATTGCAGGTCAGTCAATTTTTGAGTTGATCTTGGAGTTGAAACCAAAACCTTGGGCTGCAGTAATAGGAAGTTATCATAAGCTCTTTTACCGAGTTCGCATTCTGTTCATCTGATTGCATCGGGATTCGAACTTCGGTCTGTATTTCACAAGGTCATGTGTGCACCAGCTGAGCTACGCCCATCGATTCATTTTGTAAATTAAATGCATGTCGGTGACCTCTGTCTCGGTATGTCATGCGTTTTGCAGCCTTTGTTTCCCGGCGAGAGTGGAGTTGATCAGCTGGTGGAGATCATAAAGGTAGGGTACCGGGTTGCCTTTTCTTTACCCCTCCTCCTCCCTCCTCCTTTTGCTGACATACACACAATAAAGAAAAAGGTGGGAAACTCAGAAGACATCTGTTAATCAACCATTGCAAAACTACGGTAGCACGGCCCATGTGCAAAAAGAAAAAGGAAAAAAAAAAAAGAGGAGACCCCAAACCCTATTGTAGTCTAACAGGATATGAACTCTCTACGCCTGTAAATCAACCATTGCGACCCTGAGTCGATGTGACCCTGAGTCAAAAGTTTTTCAGTTTATTTTTCTGGATAAGCAGCACAACATAATTCTTTTCCCGACTTTTTGGATTTTTTTAATTTTAAAATTTTTTATTTTTATTTTTATTTTTTTGTTGGCTGGGACCTTCACGGCCAGGCCGCCCGGGCAAACAAGGTGACCCGGGGCGGCCCGGCTGGTAGCCTGGTTATCGAACTGGATTCCAACTTGGCTCTGTATTTCAAACAGTTCATGTGTGTACCGACTACTGGGCTAGCTCCGTCAGTAGGATCTAGGATTTCCATATTTTCCAGAAACCTGTTTGTGGTGAGCCCAATGTTTTACTCGGCCTCTTCTCTGTTGTACTAGGCATGTGGAGGGAGTAGCCCATAACCTTATTTTACCCATCTCGTCGATCAGGAATTGAACTGCCAACCTGTTTGTTAACAGTGAGTATCTTTTAGCCGCAAGGGCTGGGTATGTGGCTGAACGATGCACACTGTTTGCCAACATGTCACCAGTTCGATTCCTGATCGACCAGATGGAGGACAGGACTTGTTGAGAGTTCTGAATTGTAATTGTGAATGGAAGATGCCATCTGTTGGGAGATCATTAGGTCTGCATGATTTCTTTGCAGTAAGTCATGGTCTCTGAGCGTGGTGTGTGCAGGCATGTTGTACATATATAATTCTGCATTCTGCCCCTCACATATGTGTGGGATAGGACACTCCACTTACTGCCAGGGACCCTTTCCGCACCGATCTCAGACAGTACGATTGACCGAATGGTTCACCTGCGCCCTCTCGACCTGTAGCACCTTCGGCACCCGAACAGGAGTCAAGCCCAGTCCATCCTGTCGTACCTACACTCTCTCTGTAGCTGCATCGTAGCATGGCTGCTGTATCATCTCCGTCAAGTGGACCATGTTCTGTCTGTCTGAGGAAGGTCCCAGGCACGCATATTGACACACGCACCCCTGCACCCACCTGAACACACACACGGCGTTTAAAGTGGGACTCAGGGTTTGTATCTTCTCTGTATCGATCCAATTTTAATGGATGTCCCGAAGGACAAGTGACCAGGGTTTGTATCTTTGCGATATCACGGCTGCCTCCGGTGCAAACATGGTACCAGCAGCTCCTTGCATTCCCCACTCCCAAACCGGTGATGCCGCCAAGCTTGGTAGGGTCTGCAACGTCTTCTTTCTTTACTCAGCATGCATGGAAACAGATGGCAATCACACTGGCGCCAGGCGCCCTCACAAAGCTCAGAGATATCAAGGCCGAGAACACAGTTCAGATTCAAACTCGCTTCGAATGGCTATGGCGTCTGTGTGCCCTCACAACACCCTTCCGACACTGTATCCACAGCAACCGTTCGCACGCACGCTACTCTGGATCTCCCTGGATGTCCCACACACGCACACACTTGCCTGGACACTCACACACATACGCGCTATGGCCTATCTTCTAACCCACAGCAGCTATGGCTGCCTCCTACTCCCTGCTACTAGCGACTATGGCCGCTTCGTCTCCCTCACTGCCCTCTTCTCCCTCGGGCACCTGCAGACCTCCTTGCACAAGTCGCTCAGGCAGCGCTTCCTCGCGGCTCACAGTCCGAATGAATGAATAACTGGACGCTGCCTCTTGATTTATACTTCGGTTAGTTGCTGGTCTGCTCCTTTCCACCGGGCCTAGGGTGCACACAGTCCCACATGGTACTTGCTGACTGGACAAAGTGCAACTGGGACTGGGTACCGCTGACTAGGCAAGGTCGAACTACCCACTTGCCCACTTACCTCTAGCCTAACCTGAACAATTCTTGAAAAGCCACTTCCGGACCTTCCGGAAGTCTGTAGACTTGGCCTTTCGGAATTGTAGCAGCTACGACCTTGACCTTTCAGGACTGTAGCAGCTACGACTTCTACACAGCTACGACTCCTACTTGACAGACCTACAGTTCAAAACCCGACGGCTACACAAACCTACGACAGACATTAGACAACTACCAATACCCAGGTCACGGGTTCAAACACTCAGGGGTCGACTACCAATACCGTACATGGGTGAGGGCAAGGTCTAGGGATCGAGCCCCGGGATCTGCGTCTACTACTGCAAAGGTGAAAACCGTTTCAGGGTCTTTGCTTGCTCAAAATTAAACCAAATTTGAATGTCACCTAGGATACAGTGATGACCTCGCGGCGTTGTATCTGGTAAGGCAAGGCTTGTCATCAGAAGCCTGTCAGGTCACCGGAACCCTGTAAGGGCGCTGAGTAATGGTCCGTGAGATTGTAGCACCCGTGTGCAGTTATGTTAAACAACCCCGACATCTAGCAGGTCCCCCTTTTCATGGGAAGTAATTACGGGGGAGATGAACAAGGCCTGACGGATGTTGGGAAAGTGGCTTGGGTAGGGCATCTTTTCAAACAGTGAGTCATTTCAGCTGTCGACACATTAGGGTAGGGTTTGGTTTTCAAACAGTGAGCCATTTCAGCTGTCTACACATTAGGGTAGAACTGGCCGTTCAATCTGTTGTCACCATCTTCCTACTGGCATCCAGTGTCTCTGACTTTCATGTCTTTTTTTTTGCGTGTGTTATGTTTTTTTCTTGTTGCCGTGCAGGTTCTTGGTACACCAACAAGGGAGGAGATAAAGGCCATGAACCCAAACTACACAGAGTTTAAGTTCCCTCAAATCAAGCCTCATCCATGGAACAAGGTTGGTCTTCGTCGCTGCTGCCCAGTTTCATTTACAGTGCATGTAGACTCTTAATGACCTCCATACAAGCGATAATGAAAACCACTGCCCTTCGGTGCCCAATGTCATCTCATGCCAACAAGGATGGAGTCAATGAGTAAATTACATTGAGAGAATACCATTTTGCGAGGTAGAAGTCTTGACTAGCCTGTTTTGAAGAGCAGGTAGGCAAGGATGGTGCTTGGCAATCAAAATCCATAGAGGATTTTGTGGTTAAGGAAAGGTAGATTTTGCAAGGTGATTTCCAATCGATGAGCGTGAACTCCTTACCACTACAACTGCACCCCTTCAGCCCCACCTGTAACGTGTAGAATCTGTAAACATACACTCTAGCACCTCTCTCTCTCTCTCTCTCTCTCTCTCTCTCTCTCTGTTCTCTCTCTCTCTCTCTCTCT